TTTTCCCCCTTTCTTTTTTTTTTTTTCCCCATTTTTTTAAACCCCCCAAACCCCCACCCCCCCCCCCCCCCCCCAAAAAAAAAAAAAAAAAAAAAAAAAGCCTCGGCCTTCCTCTTCCCTTTGCTGTGTAACTTTTTGCGACGGGCCGTTACCTTTATTGACCCCAGCTATATCTAGGAGGGGAAAACATACAATAAATGGCATGCATACGGACAAAGCAAGACCGCTAATATGCTGATGGCCATCTCGTTGGCCGAGAAGCTGGGGAAACGCGGGTTGCTGGCCTTCAGTGTCCACCCAGGCGTAGTTGAGGGGACGAACCTTGGCGCTTATTGCAACTGGGAAGTTGATTATGCCTCTTTGGGTAGGTTTTCTTTTTTTTCGCCCCCTTATAATGTATAGCTCTGGATAGGAGAACATGCAATGCTGATTCTAGAGGACATAGTGGCGGTAGATAAGTCGTTTGGGAATCCCGAAGGCTGGTATACTTCGTTCACCTGGAAGTCACAAGAGCGAGGCGTTGCGCCGTATGTCTTTGCGTCGTTTGCTCCTGATCTAGAAGGTAAGTCACCTACTTTTTTTTTGTCTTGATTAAAAGAGAACGAATTAGCTGGTTGCTGATATCATGTTCAGATCACAACGGGAAATACATCCTCGAGTCCCGCATCGGAGATCCTTTGAAGGACACCATAAAGCCTTGGGCCACTAGTAGTATAGAGGCAGAAAGACTCTGGAAGCTTAGTGAGAAGCTCGTTGGTCAGGTGTTCGACTATTAAGTCGTCAACATCAAGTGTATATAAGCCCAATAGCTTTGAGGAATCTCTGAGGAATTAACTGTCTATTCATATACATGTAGCAAGCATACTAGGTTAATGGATTTTATACTACTTGCTATTTGACTTCCTTTTCAGATATTGATAACTTCAATGTTCAACAAGGGATTTGACATATGTACCAAAAAGCGTAGGGTGGGGCAAAGCTGCTGGTAGGACTATGTACTAAGCTAGCTGGTATGGAGGTAACCCTGGTTGAACGGAAGAGTTTTCCCCCCATACTACGTGGAGTATAAAAACATAGATAGTTCTTAAGATAAATGGAGTCACAGAAAAGTTTTTCTCTTCATGTTCTTTCTTTATAAAGTTCAACAAACCTACAAACTTTTATTAATCAGGCCCAGCTGGCGCAATGGTTAGCGTTTTTGACTTCTATCAAGAACATCAAAAGGTTGCCGGTTCGAGTCCGGCGTTGGGTGGTTGACTTGAAATGCAAAGACTTCGCTTCTATATTTTTCACTTTTTTTTTTTGCATTAACATGTTGCAAGTGAAGTCCATAAGGACCATGTATACACTGTCATTTTTTATATCGCGTCACCCAAACCGTGGCGCTATCGGGGTGAGAAGCTCTGACTGGTTCATGTATTACAGAGCCTTTCTTCCACTGTTTAGTTAGCGGGGTAAAACATGCAATACGCAAAATTAACTCTCTTATATGTCCTTGTGTAGGTAACTTTCGTATAAAACTGATTGTCTCTATTTCAAACTGAAAAAAAGTAAATTCAGTATTACAGTATAGGTTCCTCCCAATACAAAACATTCTTGCTTCATTTAATATCGGCCTAGATTAGGGTTGGGGAGAGCCTAAGAGAAATTTTGACTTTCAGACAATATATGATATAAACTATAAATGTTTGAATTGGCATTTGTTATTGGAAGTTGGGGATCATATATATGGTTCCAACAACGCCCTTTCATTCGTATAGAGCTCTCCATTTCTCATACCATTTCTCCCTCAGCAAAGGCGGCTCCTCGTCTGTTATTATTTCACCCAAGCCAGACTTTAGATCAATCTGTTCTAAGGGAATAAACCATAGATCATTCTTTCCTACCGTAAGCCTGTGACTACTATAGATAGCAATGAATATCGGGATTCCGATGTACGATGTCAAGAAAGTTGATACATTCCACTGCCCAGGGATGAAGACCGACATACCGCTCAGGAACATGAGAACAAAAAGAGAAACACCGCTAAACCACGCAGTGTACGGCTGGAAGCGGGAGCGGTATGGAAGGTCCGTAACACCTTGATATTTACAAGCAGACCTGAACCTCAGGTAACTGACGCAACAGCACACCCACGATTGGAAGCCAACCGTACTGATAAGGTTGACAAACCACTGGAAGACAGTTGCGGCACCAACACCAATATTCATGAAAGCTAGTAGGGAAACGGTGGCTGGAACGGCAACAGCATATATAGGGACACCTGATTTGGTGCAGCGTGTGAATACGTTGGGCGCATTACCGGCGATAGCCATAGAGTACAGTGTCCGGCTTGAAAGATACATGCAAGAATTCGCTGCCGACCAAGCGGACAGGGCAATGACGCCGTTTACCACGTCATCAAGGACTCTAATTCTGGCTTCGCGAATTCCGATTGCCCAGGGAGAGGCTGACGCTCCGCTACCCCCAGACAACAAATCCGGGTCGTCACTCGGAACGATGATGCCGACCGCCAGTGCGCCTAAGATATAAAACAGCACGAGACGGTAAAAATATCTCTTAGTGGCTCGGGGTATATTTCTCCTCGGTGACTCCAGCTCCCCGCTTGTCGCAACCAACAGCTCAGGGGCAAAAGCAAACGCATAAACCGAGAGAGTCGTGGTAGTGATGATGGCGACCAGCCTCCCGGCATCTCCCTCTAGTATGTACGGCTTCGCCGGCGCAGGCCTCTCCCAGTTAGAGAACCACAGCGGGCGGCGGCTCGGGCCGCCGCCGAAGAACAGAACCACGGAGAGGACGAGCAGGCCGAGGATGCCGGCCACCTTCGTGGCGGCGAACCAGAACTCGACCTCGCCGTACGCGCGCACGGGGAGGAAATTGCACGCGACGACGGTGGCGACGACGATGGCGATCCAGACGCCGTCGTGCAGCGGCGTGCGCCAGTAGCCCAGCACGAGCACCGCGGCGTTGACCTCGGCGGGCACGGAGACGGTGAACACGTACCACAGCGCCCAGCCGAGCGCGAACCCGAAGCTGCGCGACACGAAGCGCTGCGCGAACGTGGCCACCGTGCACCCCGGCAGCGGCAGGTACGCGTTCATCTCGCCCGTCGCCGTCGCTACCCCGTGCACGAGCACCGCGATGAAGGCGTACGCGAGCAGCGTGAAGAGCGGACCGCCCCGGCTCAGGGCCCCGCCGATGCCGACGAATAGCCCCGTGCCGATGACGCCGCCGAGGGCGATCATCTGTGCGTGCCGGCTCTTGAGCCCGCGCTTGGTGGTCGCGGTTGCGGTCACGTCGGTGGTGGATGGGAGGCCTGGCTCGAGAGCGTGGTCTGGAGGAGAAGGGGGTGAGAGGGGTGCATCCTTCCTGTCAGACACCCCTTCAGGAGTCTGGCACTCAGGGGACATCTGATAAAGAAGTAAGAATGAAGAGATGGTGGTTTTAACTGACGACTAGTCTTTCCCCTTTTTTTCTCCTATATTAAATGCTTATTTGCTTGGACCGAGTTCGCTTGCTGAGGAGATGGGGTTGCGAATGGCATGTCATGATATGTTATCTGCTTAACTTTTACGGAGAGACATTTTTGGATTGGATGATAACGCTTTGCTTTCTCATCCTACAATGCTACCTCATGTCTGCTCCTAGAATCTGTAAAAGACCAGTCATTATTGGTCCACACATGCAAATGCTGCAAGCCTTTGAGCTGCTATTACTCAGCGCAATGTTAAGTCTTGCAATCACCAAATGTCAGCACTTGGTTCGATTGGGGTTATTATAATCGTGTGCTCCAAATATTGAATACCTGGTGTGATACTTTTATTCCTATAATAAGGTCCGACTTTCCTCAATAACACAAAGGTACAAGGTATTGACGATTTAATGATTGGAAATATTTAAATAACACCTGTAGTACATAGGTGAATTATATGTACCATTAAACTTATGTCCAACACAAACTAAATAGGTTGCATATCCTGTAACCGTCAAATAAAATTTATCACTTTTTATATGATCCAGGTGGTAGAGCCGGTGGGGTTGACGATAGTTATGTATGATAAGGATAATATGTATCCATATCAATTAGATACCAAGTCGTATCAATCTCGATATTTTAAAGTTCACGTATACTTGAGAGCCTTTAATAGAATGAAATCACTAATCTTTTTTTATCTAGCTGTCCCCCAATCTGTATTGAGATATGACCTCACTGCCGTACCGTAACCCGAACCGATTTGTTGCCGGATGTGACCAGGAACCTGTAACCAATTGCCATGCTCCGCCATTCTCGATCTGGCAAGTCACCCCGCGACTTGCTCCGTTGCCGTTATTTATTGACACAGACTTCTGTAACTTTAATAAACCATTTCAACGATCTAAATAAATGGGGCTATTGGATGTATTGGAGAGGGCCAGTTTTAGTTCAGCTACTCTTTATTAAGTAAGTCGACGCGATTCCATGTGAGAGATAGGAATGCGGGGAGAAGTAAACCTCTTACTTAGGTATTCTCTTTTTCTTCTTCTCCCCCTCACACACTTTAGGAAGGCCTCTCTCTCATGGTGTTACGGATAAGCCCGGTTTTCGGATGATAAGAACCAATTAGACAGTTAGTTACGCAATATATTTCCAAGATAAGAAGCCAACCCGGCCTACGATACGTTACGATAAGAATCCCGGGGTTGTGCAGTTACAGACTGAAGTATAAGACCGTGACATCAAAAGCACTGATCTCTCTATCCAGCCCCTTTTCTCCCCTTTTTTTGACAACTTCCCCATATACCTCTAATAGTCAAATCACCATGTCGTCGGACCTTTCTGTCCAGCTAACCGCGCCAAACGGTGTTAAGTACACTCAGCCTACTGGACTTTTCATCAACAATGAGTTCGTGAAGTCTTCCGACGGCGCAACCATCGACTCTATTGATCCCGCGTAAGAGCTCTCATCTCATAAAATCAAACGCGCATATTTTTACACTGACACCATACTCCTGCGCACAGTACCGAGGAAAAGATAGCAACGGTCTACGTCGCCTCGACAGAAGATGTAGATAAGGCCGTTAAGGCGGCACACAAGGCGCTTAATGACCCTTCATGGAAGAAGCTCTCTGCCACGGACCGCGGGATTCTCATGTGGAAGCTGGCGGAGCTGATGGAGGAGAACAGAGAGCTCTTCGCCACGATCGATGCCTGGGATAATGGTAAAAAATAGATTTCACTTACTTACTTTACTTTCCCACACTTCAACTCTCTTATCATCATCATCTACTAAGACTTCCCCCATAAAAACAGGCAAGACGTACGCCGAGGCCTACGAAGGAGACCTCACTGAGGCTATAGGCGTGATCCGGTACTACGCCGGGTGGGCCGACAAGACGTTCGGGCAGACCATCAGCACCACGCACCAGAAATTTGCCTATACGCTGCGCCAACCCATCGGTGTGGTTGGCCAAATCATCCCATGGAACTACCCGCTCTCCATGGCAACGTGGAAGCTCGGCCCCGCGCTCGCCTGCGGCAACACGGCAGTGCTCAAAGCAGCCGAGCAGACGCCCCTCAGCATCCTCGTGCTCGGCACGCTGATCCAGCGCGCGGGGTTCCCGCCCGGCGTGGTGAACCTGATCAACGGGCTCGGCGCGACCGCGGGGCCGGCCCTGGTCGCGCACCCGCTCGTCGACAAGATCGCGTTTACGGGCAGCACGGCGACGGCGACCAAGATCATGGCGCTCGCGGCCAAGACGCTCAAGAACGTGACGCTCGAGACGGGCGGCAAGTCCCCTCTGCTCGTCTTCCCCGACGCGGATCTGGATCAAGCCGCCCGCTGGTCACACCTCGGCATCATGTCGAACAAGGGCGAGATCTGCACCGCCACCTCGCGCATCCTCGTCCACGCCGACGTCTACGACGACTTCCTCGCCCGCTTCCTCGCCACTACCACCGCCACCAGCAAGGTCGGCTCCCAGTGGGACAAGGACACGTACCAGGGCCCGCTGGTGTCGCGCGTGCAGTACGACCGCGTGCTCGAGTACGTTCGAGTCGGGCAGGCCGAGGGCGCTCGTCTCGTCTCGGGCGGGCAGCGCGTGGAAGCCTCTCGCGCGGGCGCGGGGAAAGGGTTCTTCGTGGCGCCTACCGTGTTCACCGACGTGAAGCCCTCGATGCGCATCTGGCAGGAAGAGATCTTCGGGCCCGTGGTGGCCATCGCCAAGTTCGGCAGCGAGGAGGAGGCGGTGGCGCTGGCCAACGACACGACGTAC